TCTCCAGCGTCGTTTTTACCACCAAGGCCATATTTTCCAACTACCAATCCTTCTTCATTTCCAACTTTTGCATTCCAATCACCAGTAATTATCAATGCATTTGATTACACGTTTGATCAATTTCAGACTGCAGAAGTTGGTAAAAATCTTCAATCTCCTCATCTTCAGCATTAGTGGTTGGTGCGTAAATTTGACTAATAGTCATATTAACTGGTCTTCCTTGTGGGCAAATGAATATTATCCTATCACTAACAGCATTGTACTTCAGGATAGATCTTGAAATGTTCTTTTTGATGATGAATGTGGCCTTAACCATCACACCTAGCACAGCAGACCATATGACTGTCTGATTCTAAATGGCCAATACCAGTCCATTTAAGCTCACTAATGCATAGGATATCGATCTTTATGCATACTATTTCATTTTTGACAATGTCCAGTTTTCCTAGATTCATACTTTGTACATTCTACATTCCTATTATTCATGGATGTTTGCAGCTGTTTCTTCTCACTTTGAGTCATGCCACATCAGCAGATGAAGATCGTGAAAGCTTGAACCATCCACATCATTAAGGTCAACTCTACTTTGAGGAGGCAGTTCTTTCCCAGTTGTATTTTGAGTGGCTTCCAACCTGAGGGGCTCATCTTCCAGCACTATATCAGCATACAGCTGCTATTCATAAAGTTTTCACTGGCCAATTTTTTCTGAAGTAGACCACGAGGTCATTCTTCCTAGTCTGTCTTAGTTTGGAAGCTCCTCTGAAACCTGTCCACCATGAGTGATCCTGCTGGTATTTGAAATACTGGTGGCATAGCTTCCAGCAACATACAAGCCACCATAGTACAACAAACTGATTGATGTGTGGTGGCATTATTTAATAGTGACACCTAAAAATATAACATTGAGATATAAAAGGACACTATAATAAAATCACAAGATATGATCCTCATATTACTTTGCCTTTCTAAAATAAACGTAATTCCTAAGGCTAGCATAAATAAATCTGAAAAATGCTCATTTTTGAGTGTTAGAAAATATAGAAACATTCTCCTCCTTGACCTCTTTAACTGCTCTCCAACAAGTTCCCTTTCTTCTGCTCATAAAATCTTAATTTTCCTCGAGAATTCACCTTTAGCTTTTTCTCCTTTTCACTCTACAAATATTCCCAGGCTAGTTCTCTGATTCCTATGGCTCTCATATTTCCTTTCTAAGTCTCAGATCCCCATATTTCCAACAACTAACTAGACTTATTGACCTGGAACCATGATCATAAACACTTCAAAATTAACAAATACAAAATGCAATTTTTCCCTAAATTGTCTCCTGCCCTGCTTCTTTCTTATTCTTCTTCTTTATTTCCCTTATAGGTTAATGGTAATGCCAAATTTCTGAATTAGGAAACTAAATTTGATCTTAACTCCTCCCTTTCCTTGTCTCCCCCTAGCCAGTCAATTCTACCAAAAAAGTGTTTCTGAATTCCCTTCCTCAGCTACCATTTTCTCCATCTTTACCACGGCAGTAATTCAGGCCCTAACCTGCTCTTCCCTGAACTACTTCAACTTCCTCCTACTAGGCGACTATTCCCTACCCAGGTGTTCCCAATGTATGTTTCAGGCAGCCACAACAATAATCTTGCTAAAACACATCTGATTGCTTCTCTTCTTAAGAAACCTCCACCAGCTCTTCCCACTGAGCCTTGACATCTTTGCATAGTCTGTAGGACTCTTCTCAATCGGGTCCCAGCCCACCTTCCGAGCTCCATTTCCAGCTGCTCTTCCCTAGGGACCATAAACCAGTAATGGCCATGCACTGGTCACTTGCACACTCTCTAAGAGCTGCTTCCTGCTCTGCAGTCTTACAACACTTTAGATGGGCCTCAATCATGGTATATATTATCGTTTATTGCTATGTTAAGGAGCTAGTATAGGATAGTGGTTAAGTTTGTGGTTCTGGAGCAAAAACGTCTGGGTTCAAATTCCAGTTAGCTAGCCATGCCTGTTTCTTCATCTATAAAATAGAGGTAGTAATAATTTCTATAGGGTTGTTGTGAGGTTAAATCATGAGACTGAAAAAAAAAAACTGCTAGTAGACTGCCTGGAACATAGAAAAAGAAGAAAAAAAAACATTGCCATTTAGTCAGTTCAGAGTATAGCTGTGCTCCATAGGATTTTCAAAGGCTGTAATCTTACCAAAAGGAAACCTGGTGACGCAGTGGTTAAGCACTCAGCTGTTAACCGAAAGGTCGGTGGTTCAAATCTACCAGGTGCTCTGCAGGAGAAAGATGTAGCAGTCTGCTTCTGCAAAAGACTTATAGCCTTAGAAACCCTATGGGGCAGTTCTACCCTGTCCTATAGGGTCACTATGCGTCGGAATCAACTTGATGGCAATGGGTTTGTTTTTAATCTCGCCAATCCCTAGAAAAGGACATCATATTTGGTAAAACACAGGGTCAGCGAAAATGAGGGAAACTTTCAATCAGCTGGAATGACACAATAGCCACAATAAACAAACCAAAAAACCCGTTGCCATCAAGTCGATTCCGACTCAGAGCAACCCCACAGGACAGAGAAGAACTGCCCCATAGGGTTTCCAAGGAGCGACTGGTGATTTGAACTGCTGACCTTTTGGTTAGCAGCCAAGCTCTTAACCACTGTGCCACCAAGACTCAAACATATCAAAGATGATGAAGATGGTGCAGAACGAGGTAGCATTTCATTCTGTTGGGCATGGGATCACCATGAGTCCGGAGCCGACTCAACGGCAGCTAACAACAACAACAACAACAAAGACACACAAAAATCTAAAAGAAAACAGACAAAGAAAAAAAGAGCATATATAGTTAAATTATATAGGAGAACAGAAATGGAATTCATAATGCTGTATTTCCTAAGGAGTTTAAAGTTAGGCAGTCAGGTAGGTGATTTTGAGCCTCCTCAAGTTTTCACAGCTCCAGTTTCCAAAATGTCTTGAAGCTAGGGGTGGCATTAACCTTAGATGACGCATAAAAGCAAAGTTAAGAACATGTTCTGCCTTTCCCTTCACTCCTTTCCTTTATCTGTTTCCTTCTTTTGTTTAATTTTAAGCCAATGCTTCACTCACTAAACAGTATACACTATACTAAATAGTAGACTTCAAAAGATGAAAAGTTGGAGATAAAATACAAATGTAAATAGCAAAAAACAACAACAAAAGGTTAAGCAAGGGATAGAAAACAAATTTGTAAATTAGACTGTAAATATTGAGCAAAATTTCAACTTAAACTTTCCATTTATTTAAGAGGGCACCTTAGTTACAGTTGCATTGACATCCACCCCAACTGCATTTTCATCAAATTCCCCACACCCAGAACTGGCTAAAATATGAGTAGAAAAAGACAGTATGAGTATAACAGGTTTAACAGAGTCAAATGCAAGTCCAAGTATAGTCTTTACTTGAATCCACTAGTTCTGCCATTTACTAGTCATATAACCTTCTGCAACCTTAGATTCATCATCCTCAAAATGAGGATGATAATACCAACCTCATAAGGTTATTATGAGGATTAAATGAGCATACTGCATGACACAGAGTAAGCATTTAGTAAATCTCATGTTATGATGATGATGTTCCTTAAATGTTGTATCAATTTTCATAAACTATGGTACCTACATAAAATGGAATAGTAACAATTAAAACATGAGGCAGTTCTATACATATTAATATGGAATGATCTCTGAGATATGCTAAATGAAAAAAAGAAAGGAACAGAACAGTGTATAGTATACTGCCACTTCTATTTTTTTTTTTAAACACAGGTAATTATATGCATATTCCAGAATGTCTCTGGAAGAATACATAAGAAACTAGTATCAGATTGCCTCTGGCTAGGGGACAGCGGTGGAAAAGAGTCTTAAAAATGTCACTGTATTCCTTCTTGTACACTTTGAATTTTGTTTCATGTGCTTTTCTAGCCTATTCCAAAAATAAATTAAAATGTATATTATGATCCATAACTTATATTACCAAAATATTCCATTACACATTAAGTGGATTGTGCTGAACTTTGCAGAAAAACCTAACATGACCTAATCGTAGTTAATCATCAAAGACAACTACTACTTTTTTTGACTACTACATTTTTAGCTAAATTAGCCAATAACAATCGAATTATTAAAGTATATAAACTTCATTAAGGTATATAAGGGGAAGGTGCTTGGAGATGAGAAAAAAGAAAGGATAAATATGTGGATGGGGGAGACAATAAACATTCAAAAAACATTATCTGTCCACCAGGTACCAGCCATTGTGCTAAGGGTTGGGGAAACAATGACACAAGATCCTTGCTCTTGAGGAGACCTCAATTTAGTGAGAGTATATGAACAAAGCAGTAAAATTCGCACTCCTGTGGGCTGTGCTGCTCAAGAAATACGTTCATTCATTCAGGAATACATATCAACAATTGAATGAATGAAGCAAGTCCGGCGACAAAACACACCCAGTTCAGGCTCTACTGGTTTGCAAAGAACACCAAGAATCCTTTCCTCAATGTAACAGGGTTGTGGACTGTGTTCCCAGAATCCCGAGTCAGCAGGGCCTGCAGGGGTCCGAGGCGCGGCTCTTGGGCTAGCGCCCAGTCACCAGCCCGGAGAGCTTGGGAAGACACAGGGTGGAAGGGTCCCCAGACCCCAACCCCACACTGCATCCCCTCAAAGCAGGCACTCCCACACCTGGGATCACTAGGTCTCAGCCCTCTAACACCCATGAGGGAACAAACTCTGGGTCGAGCTCTGACTCTCAAAATTAAAGTCACTCTGGGCCAGCTTCGGCCGTGCTCAGGGCTCCCTCTCAGACAGAGAAGGGCTAGAGAGGCTGATATTCCTCGGAGGGGCCCTCAGCTCCGAAAAACCGTGAAAACCGGGAGGCAGCTGGGGATGACAGAGTTGGGGGTGACCCCAGAAGCTGCCTAGATCATATGAACACACCGGCAGGTCGGCTCAGCCTTCTCATGGCAGTCACTGACCTTTCCAAAGGGGCTTCCCAGGGGCGGCAGCCGAAGGGACGAGAGCGGCGGCCCAATCCCCGCACCCAACACATCTTCTTAGCCGCCTCTGCACTAAGGAGCGCAGAATAAGCAAGGGCGACCAGGAGGTCGCCATCTTGAGCTCCGTACAAGGGGAAGAGGAGGAAAACTTTATTGAAACCTAGAAGAGAGACGGTGGCACAGACAAATCCAGCCGTGCTCACTGAAGGTTCCGCCCGACAGAACGCAAGGGAGCAGCTAAAGAATGTGACCTCCCGGAGCGATAAGGACGGGCTAGAATCCCATGCCCTTAGGAACTTCCGGGTGCTGCCAATCAGGACTACAACTCCCAGCGTGCAGTGCCCCACGGCCGGGGGTGGGGAGAGGGGCGGGGCTGACAGCTCTCAAACTGGATTGAGGGCGGTTACTCTCCGCTGGGCCCCAGCCGCTCAGGAGGCCCTGTGTCGGTTGTGGAGCTCAAGACGTTTGCAAAGAATTGAAAAGTGATTGTGACGTGTAGTCACGTAACCGCCCTTGAGCCTTTTAAGCTAGCCTACCGAACTGAGATTTAAAAACCTAATAAACTGGAGGTGACCCAATGGCCCTCATATTTTAATGAAATACTAAGCTTACCTCGTCCAACTTCCTACATGGTAACCCCAATTTTTTGTCTCCAGCGTCCAGCTGCAGAGTACCTGAAATGTACTCCTACCACTTTTCCTTTCTGCGCTGGAATAACATAAATCACTTTCAATATGGTATAAACACAAATGTTTTGAAAGATTGTATGAATGATTGGAAAGCCTATGATCCATGATGGACAATTAGTGGGTAGTGTATCCAAAGGAGAACTGCTAAGTGATCTGCCCTAATTTGATTAAACAAAAAAATGTTTTGAGACACTATGCTAAGTGTAAGGGGGAAGACAAATTGCTGTTCCGGAAGAGGCTGGCGATCCAGTAGGAGGGGTGAAGATTTCGACAAAAGATGATACAAGGTGTTGTGGGACCAATGAAAGGAGAGAGCACTTTCGCTAGGACATCTGGAAGGCCTCCTAGAAGCTAAAATTTTCAAAAACAAGGAATTCAGTGCGCTAAGGTAAGCAGTAAAGAAAGCCTGAAGTAGAGGTAGAAAGCCAAGTTTCAGTTGTGCAAAAACAAATGAAAAGACTACAGTAGGAAATGCTCCAGGACTCAGGCAGTTCACAATAGAACAGATTCCAAAGAAACAGGAAAAGGAGACTTTAGAACGGTGTATTAATTTGGAGACTTCTCTACCAACCCTATCAAATGATTTATGGGGAAAAAATTATTTTTATTGTATCTATCAAGATAAGTCAACTCACACTTATTTGTTTTATATCTTTAATTTCATTGTCTGACATGACAAACTGTTTCTCCATGCTGTGGTGAATGGTTTCGGTTTTTCTCTTTTTTTTTCCTTTTATTTTAACGTTACTAATTTTTGGTGTGAAACTTTGTGAAGGACATTTTGAAAATCAGAATTTTATCCACTATTTCTCCCTTGATTGACATATTTATCACACTCAAAAGACTTTCAGAATACATAGGTATCATTTTGTTAGCTCTGAGAAGACTATTGTTTGCTTTGGTCAATGACATTACCCTTTACTAGAGATTCCAACAACTTAATAATTATGGAAGTGAAATAAGCACTTGTGGATATTTTAATGCCAAATTGGTGGGGTGATCTACAGCCAATTTCACATGTACACGGACAGAAATGTAAAAAATAAGCTTTACTGTGTACAAGTGTGAGGTAATTTAGAGGGAAATAATCTAGATTATATTTGTCATATTCAAGACAAGTCATCATGACCAGAAGATTAATTAGGTAGCCATTATAAACTATTAAAACATCAAACCTGTGCTCCTGCTGTTACTGCAACTGCTAAAACAAACAAACTCTAAAAGAAATTTTGGATATTATCAAAGAAACTACTAAAAATAAATCAGAAAACATTATCTTGACCTTGTTTAAAAATGATGGTTCGTTTCCCTGCAGAATGTAGCCAGTAGTTCTGACATCTAATCTCAAGAAGCACAAAACCAGACTCAGAGTATCCAGAAGAGGGCAAAATAATGAAGGAAATGGAAAGAGAGTGGTCAATGAAAAAACAGACTATACTAGGAGTCAGAAGATATATATTTGGGCTCTGATTTTTTCACTAGCTGAAACTCTCCTTTTCACTTTTCCGCATCTATAAAATTAGGTTGGTGTCTGTCCCAGAGGTTTTATGAGAATTAAATGAGATAATGTATATACACAAAGGGTTAATCAAATATACTTGTAAATAGACATCGAGAAGGGATAAAATTGAAGTCTAAAATAAGGAAGGATACTGCCTAGGACAACATGGATTCACAACACCTGGGAATTGTAGAAATAAGGAGTATTCTCTACAGCTGGAATAAAGTAGGGAGAATTGTAAAATAAATAAAAATAAAGCACTACTAAACCTTAGGTAGCAAATTTATGGAACTCATAAAAGGCCCCAAAAAAAAGTTTTCGTGGAATTTAAATAAATGAGTAGAATGATAATCTGTAATAAATGTGGATGATTTGGAATATTTAGTTTCTGTCCAGCTCAGGCACACTATGATTTGGTCACCATCTTAGAGGATGCGCTGGACCACTATCAGAGACAGACTACCGACGGAATAGGCCACTGGCATGAATCAGCCAGGATACGATTTCCTAATACTACTGTTGTTCTTAAGACCATTGCCGTAGCCACTTTCTGAAATCCTTCCCCATCTCAGTAGATGGTCCTTCCATTTGCTCAGGCCATTCATCATAAGAATGATCCTTTGCTCTCCTCTTTCTCTCTCACCCCACATCTAATCCTTAATAAATGTGGTGGCTCCACCTTCAAAATATATCCAGAATTTCATCACTTTACCACCAACATTGCTACCATCCATTCTGGTCCATTGACTCAATGGCATCTAAGAAGAACAACATTCTGGTCCAAGTCACCATCAACATCCTTCTGGATTTGTTAATTGGTGTCTAACTGGTCTTGCTTCCACTTTTGTCCCCTACAGTCTACTCTCCACACAGCAGCCAGATTTTTTTTTAAAGTCAAATCATTCTATTCCTATGTCAAACACCCACTAGTGTCTTCCTCTGTCACTCAATTATTAAAGTAGCCTAGAAGACCTCATGACCTGAGCCCCTACTAGCTCTCTGATCTCATCTCTTACCGCTCTCCCTCCCACTCCCTCTAGTCCAGCCACAGTGGCTTTCTTGCTGTTCATAGAACTCACAAGCTTTCAGGATGGCAACTCCACCCTAAAACCCGTTGCCATCGAGTCAATTCCAACTCATAGCAACTCTGTAGGACAGAGTAGAACTGCCACATAGTTCCAACGAGCAGCTGGTGGATTCGAACTGCTGACCTTTTGGTTAGCAGCTGAGCTTTTAACCACTGTGCCACCAGAGCTCCACCCTCAAGCTTTGCATTTCCTGTTGCTTCTACAGGGAATGCTTTCCCCCAAGATACCTGCTTGATTCACTTCCTCATGTCTTCACTTGCTCAAGACACCTTCTGAGTAAAGCCTTTCTTAACTACCTATCTAAAATTACAATCCCTCCCAGCATTCCTTTTCGTCCGTCCCACCTTTAATTTCTCCACAACACTTATCACCACCTGACATAATATATATTTTGCTAATCTATTAGCTTATTTACCTTCTCTTACCACTCCTTTTAGAATTTAAGCTCCATATGGGCAGGGTTTTATGTCTATTTTGTTCACTGCTGTATCCCCATGGCCTAGAATAGTGCCTAGATTAGTAAGCACTTAATATTTGTTGAATGACTGAATAAGTAGTTTTAATAAAAATGTAAAATTTATCATAGTTTTAGTCTTTCTCCAACAATAAAGACTATTTTACCTGCTTCATGAAATTAGTGATGCTCCTAATATTTTGAGCCCATGTTAAAGATTAATTTTAAAAAACAGCATCAAACTCGCTATCATGGCAGTCACTGAAACACACCCCTAAAACCTTTGTTTACCACTTATTTATTCATTCATTCCTTCATTTTGCCATTATACATGGTGCCTCATAATTACAGGCTTTTCTAATTTAACAAAAAGCAGTTTAAGGCTAGAAAAAAAAATGGTTCATTTGAAGACAGATGAAGGAATGATTTCACATGGAAACCATTACATAGTAACTGGTATTTTCTAGAGTCAAATATCTGGCTTATAAATTCCAACATTTGTTCTTAAAGATCTCCAATGAAAGATACAATTTTAAATTATTTCTCTTACTTTAAATAAACTAGACAAATATGCCTAAGCACATTATTAACCATGAAAAATATAAGTTCTAAACAAGATATACCTCAGTAATATAAATTTATATAAAGTATAAATTTTGCTGCAAGTACTCCATTCAGATAAGAATGATATATTTGCTAACCTTCCAACCAAAGTTACTTTTTTTTCCTTGACTGAAACATTATTTAACTTGTAACTAGAGATTGACCAAAGATAGAATAATTGAAGTCAAGCCTAGTGCTCAAATCTTTAGTTTCTATTTATATAATAGATGAGTATATTAAACAATAGATTTTAACAATAGATTAAAAATAGCTGACACTTTTTCAGTTTTGAATAGTCTTTACCAATTTTTTTCTTATTTGAATCTCATGATAATATGTGTTTACCCATGTATTCTTTCTTAAATGTTATACCCAAATTTTAAGGGGGAGAAGAGGTTTTCCTTACGTAATTTCTCCACAAGCCTTCTCTGCCATGCCATCTTTGATTTTAAAGTAGCAGTCACCCCTAATCTATTCTACCCTCCCTCAACTTCAAATGCAAATTTGCAATCTGAGAGCCACCTTCAACTAATTTCTTTTCCTCATCCCTCATATCCAATCTTACACCAAATAAGATTAATCTATCATCTTAAAATAGCTTAAGTCCATCCACTGCCATTGGTATTTCCTCCTGTCTTTCCAAGGCTAATGCAGTCAACTCCTAACTCTGGCTCTATCTCTTTCTCCTCTCCTCCATCTTGCTGTCTGATTTGTCTATCTAGATATGTGACCTATCTGGCCACATCCCTTTACAGATTCTAAATTTTCAATGTTTCCCTACTGTCTACAGAACGAAGTACAATTTTGTTATGATGGACCTTTAGAGATTCAAAATTTGGCTCCTGCCTACCTTACCATCTGTTCATATTACCCAAATGAATTACACCCAGAAAATGGCATATCATGGGTGATTTATCAAGTATCTTTTTTTTTTCCATGAACCTTTGCATATATTATTCGGGAAAAACTGGAAAAGTTATTTCCCATCCACCATCTCCCCCCCCTTTTATTTCCTAAGCG